TTTTTTTTTTTTTTTCAATTTGTTTTTATTTTTAAACATAAAAAAAACAACATAAAAAAATTCTCATCCATTGCATACAGCATGTCGTTTGGTTACAAGTGTTTTTGCATCCATATTCTCAACTACATTTACAATCACAAATTTTTCATCTAATATAACTAGATACCTCACTTTCATTGTGCAACGTATATTCAATTACAATTAGTATTTTTGTTTCAATAAACCTAATTCACTTACATTCTTGATTGTCTGTTTAATAACAATATACCTTTATATAATCACATATCCCGATATGAAAAAGATTTATCAACCATTTATATTTGTATATCACTGTTTTCAATTATGTATAATCCCACCAATCAACTATCGAGTATAATTGCCTGTTTTTATTGTGGCATCTCAACACCAGATCCTCAAGTCAAAGCCTGGTTTTCATATATTCCTCTCCTGATTTAGGATATCCGGAATCAACGTCGCTATCGCCAGAGGAGAAAAGCGGAACTGGTGAAGCTTCAACAGACCTACAGTGCCCTGAATTCCAAGGCTACTTTCTATGAAGAGCAAGTGGATTACTATAAGAGCTACATCAAAACGTGTTTGGATAATTTGGCCAGCAAGGGCAAGTGAGTGCCATCTCTCAAGATTTTACAATTTAATTTTTGTCACAGAAATTTTTGAAAAGGGACTGAGAGTAGTTGTGATAGAAAATATTTACATAATATATATGTTTTGGGGAGGAGAAGCAGAATCCTTCTTTTTTCAGGAATGTCAATAATCTTTGGGCCATGTGTTAACGTTCCAACTGACAAACTCAACCAAAAGCAAGAATGACTGAGACGATCCAATCTTTTAATGCAAAACTTTAATTACATCATATTGGCAAAGATGAGGACAAAACCAGATCTGACTATTTCCCACCCAAATCCTCATAGTTAAAGTTTTCCCTCCCCACTATTAGGCCAAGTCACATTGTCCAATGGAGACTTTTAGTGTTGTGAGAAAGTTGTTCAGTTCTGGTAACCACCTGCCGAAATGTCTTGGTTCCCCTTGGCATCCTGATGTCTGGAGCTTCGTTCTATTTCCCCCTTCCCTCCCCCACCTCCCCCCCAATAGTTTGTTGGCAAGATGAGAAGTGAAAATAGTTGCAACAGCAAAAACGCAGTTTGAAGCTTGACAGGTCCATTTCAGCTCAGAGCAAATCAGTAAATGTGTCACAGATATCGCTACACTTCCCTCAACCCGATTCTGATGTTTCTTATTTTAGGGTCTCAAAAAAGCCAAGGGAGATGAAAGGAAAAAAGAGCAAGAAGATTTTTCTGAAATACACAGCAGCCCGACTCCATGAAAAGGGAGTTTTGCTAGAGATTGAAGACCTGCAAGCCAGCCAGTGAGTATTTCTATACCAAAAAAGCCATATGGGAATAATTAAATCTGATATATGGCATCGCATTTGCAATTGGAGAAGGCAGACATTTATCAAATGTTTCTGCGCTTTTCATTCTCAACCATCACAAGGGAGATTCCGCTATGTGGAAGAGACATAAACTTTGTTGTATATTTGGGACAGCTTATTGACTTCCCAGGTTGGACTTTTGAGCTTATAGGAAACAATCTCACTGTATCCTTTAGACACTAATTTGCATTTCATACTCAGATTCACCTTGTCATCCATAAAAATACTTCCTCTTGTCCCTGCAAACAGTAGCAGTTGTTATATCTGGCTCCCAACAGAATTTTGTGAAGAGATTCTTTGTTTTGGACCATTACCTACTTCAAACGATGCATACTGGAATGATGATAACTGGAACCAAGAATATATTGTAGGATATGGTGGAAATGTGCAGTGTACTTAGCCTCAACACTATCCTGCTCACACTGTGGAACAAGCCATGGGTTATTGGTATTGAACATTCATTCATTCTGCTGCAGCTGCCAAAAAAGTCAACACAGTTCTAGGTTACATAAACAGAGGAATAGAATCAAGATCACATGAAGTGTTAATACCACTTTATAAGGCCTTGGTAAAGGTAAGGCCACACTTGGAATCTTGCATCCGGTTTTGGTTGCCACGATGTAAAAAAGATGTTGAGACTCTAGAAAGAGTGCAGAGAAGACCAACAAAGATAATTAGGGATAGGAGTGGAATTCAATTTCTTTTACTACTGGTTCTGTGGGCGTGGCTTGGTGGTGGTGGTGTCATGTAACTGAGTGGGCATGGCCAAATTGAGTTGGCCATGCCCACTCAGTCACATGACACACCCCCAAGCCACGCTCACAGAAAAGGCAGCTTCTGCAGTCTGTCCCTTTATGGTTCCCCACCCCCAGCCAGTGCAAGAAGCCTCCCAGCCACCTCCTCTTTGCCAGCTGGAATTGAGCTGGCAGCGGCAGCCACAAGCTTTTTGCGCCGAAAACTACCGACCTTTGCTTCTCGAACGTGTCAAAAAAGAGCTTCAGTCCCACCGCCACGTTACCCTCACTGCCCTGTTCTTCTGGAACAGTGGACATGAGATGTGCGTGCGCGGCCGGTGCGAAGAACAGGGTGGTGATGACGGCAGAACTGAAGTTCTTTTTTGGCATGTTCAAGAAGCGGAGACAGGTAGTTTTCATTGCAAGAAGCTGTAGCCACCGCTGCCGGCTTGGTTCCAGAAGGTAAAGAGGAGGCGGCTGGGAGGCTTCTCATACCAAAAAAAAGAGGAGTCGGCTGCAGGCATCTTGCAACAAGGGGGGGTTAGATGCAGGCTAGTGGGGAGCCCGGTGACGACAGCGCAGCCCTGGTTTAAGATTAAGTAAGGGCTGGACAAGGCCTCTGAAGGAGGGGAAATGGGATGATGCATGGCGAAGGGAGAGCGGGTGGCATGCAGGAGGAGGCTGCGGGAAGTCTAAAGCCAGGGGATGGTGCATTCCCTGACCAGGGCAAGGTGAATTGTGAGCAGGCGGAGACTCCAGGGCCTTAGGGAATGGTGTGTCCCTGGGCCCCGGCCCCTGACCCTGGGTGAAGGACGAGCAGGTGGCATGCTTACCTTTGGTAAACCGAGCAGAGTGGTGAGGCGTGGAGGCAACTGGTAAGGCAAGTAGCTGGGCCGTGTGGCGAAGGCAACATATATAGGGCTGGGATAGGCGGGACTAGCAGCAGGCTAGTCTGGAAATTAGGAAAGAAGTCTACAAATTGCAAGCAGTTGCAGACGATTTAGTTTTTATTCTTGAAGAACCATTAAAGTCGAGTTTGAGACTGATGGAGGTACTAGAAGATTACAGGAAAGTAACCGGACTGAAAATTAACAAATCTAAAACTAAAATGATAGTTAAAAATATGATGGAGAAGCAGGAGGAGGAATTGGCCAAGGGAATAAATATTCAGATTGAGAAAAAAATGAAATATTTAGGAATCCATATAACGGGAATGTGTACATCAATCAAAGAGGATAACTATGTTAAGTTAATAAATTATATAAAGGAGGATTTGGCGAGGTGGAAAAAATTTGAGACTCTCTTTCATGGGAAGAATAGCGGTAATCAAGATAAATATTCTACCAAAATTATTATTTTTGTTCCAAAATATTCCCATAAAATTAGAATACATTTGGCAAGATAAGAAACCAAGGATTAAATTTAAACTTCTGCAAGATGTAAAAGAAAGAGGACGATTTGGTATACCAGAGTGGGAATTTTATTACCAAGCAACTACGCTTACTTTGATAAAATAATGGATAGAACTAAAAAATAATAGACTGCAAACACTAAAGGACCATGACTTACATTTAGAATGGCACGCATTCTTGTGGTACAGGAAACAGGTACCACATCAATATTTTCAGAGACACTTTATAAGACAGGCATTATTAGAAATATGGAATAAATTCAAGAGGAAAATTTGCAGCAAAATTCCAATTTGGCTATCAACATTAGAAGCTAACGCTGCACCAAAATCTTATTAACAGGTCAATTATAAAAATATAATAGACAAAGAAGAGAGATTAACATCGAGGGAAGAGCTAAAAGTGCAAGGGATAGAATTGGAATGATGGTCCTATTTTCAAATCCAATCTTGTTACTCGAAAGATATGAAAGAGTGGGACATTAATAGGGAGTTGATGGCAATAGATAAGATCATTTTGGGGACATCTGGAAAAATAGTAAAAATGAAGATTTCCAAGAAAAGATTGGACCACTATTGGTTCAGAATTTATAGGGTCTCCTACTTGAACTGGAGGTTGGACTGGAAGACCTCTAAGGTTCATTCCAAATCTGTGTTCTGTGACCTATATGGATATAGATCCATACATAGACAAGGAAGAAGGTGTCTGCTATTCATGACATGACTACCAGGTTTTCTTATTGTTCCAGATGATATTTTACTTCCAGTGTAGCCTTTCAGCTGCCTGAAATGAATATGACTGTTTGTCACTGTCTCTCTTTCTGTGTGTGTGTGTGTGTGTGTGTGTGTGTGTGTGTGTGTGTGTGTGTGTGTGTGTGTGGTGTGTATCAACAAAGCAAGTTATGGAAGTGCTGGTCCTCTGGATCTGTGGCCTGCTTGCTCTGCATTGGAAGCAGCCTTTATTGGTTAGGAAGTTGTTTCAAGCCACAGTTCTGAAACCCTCTTGAACAGCTTTTTCCCCACAATTTTCTTGCCACAGTAGAAAATCAGATGATCCTCAGCTGTGTTCCAGTCCATTTAAGCGCCAAGTCCCAGAATATCAGTTTTTTCCCTGCCATGGCAGCACCCAGCTTGTTTTGTTTCATGGCCTGACCTTCAGTTTCCATGGTGCGCCTAGCAGTGTTCTTCCTTTTCTGGTGGCAAATGCTTAGCCTTTTGTTAAGACCTGAACCGGATGGAGCCCCATGCCAAAGCTCCGAGATATGCAAGGCCCTCAGCAGGTCCTTTGCAGTAACAAAACGTATTTTGCAGCTTCCTTCAAAAGACAAATATTTGCTCAACATTTGCTCTGAGAAAGATGGGCAGTTAAGAAATATGTACAAATCCAAAAATAAGATGAAACCTTCCTGTGATTACTGCAATATTTGGATGGTCCATGTTTATCAACATCCTTTCTCTTGGTAAAAAGTGAGGTTTTCATCAGTTGCCTGCAGAACTGAAATTAAAAAATGCTGTATTCGATGTGTAAGACACACTCAGACGTTCAGCCACTTTTTTGAGGAAAAAAGGTGTGTCTTATACTCCGAAAAATACAGTTTTTACTAAGAATTGAACTGATAGCAAGGAAAACAGGCAAGATCTGAGGCAAAACTGCACAAAAGTTACACTGTGAAAATAATTCCAAATCCCTCCCCCCGGGGTCCAGCACAGAGAGTCCAATCAACATCCAGTAAGATGTTATGGGAACAGGTCCTCTGCAGGTGTTTCTTGACTCCAGAGTCCCAGGACGCCTGGCCTTAGAGAAGTATAAACAATCTCACTCAGCTGCACCGTAGCTCATGAATAAAAACCTTCCTCCCAATTCCCAGGAGACACACTTAAACACCAGCATGCTTCCCATCCCAAATACACAAACCCCACTCTCCGTTTCTATGGCAGCCAAGAGCAAAAAAGAGTCAAAGAATGTACTAGGGATCCGGTTGACATATCCGTTCATTCATTCATTCAGTTTATATATTAGAGGATTTCACAAAATGACTCCTAGCTTTTACAACTTGAAAACAGAGTAAAAACAATGATGATATAAACAATTAGATGTCTATGGAGATTCTCAATCATGCAAATCATTTGGATGAGAAGGGAAACATTTAAAGGAAGAAAGCCAAGAAAGTCCAGTTGCCTTCTGGGGGGGACCACTAGATGGCGGTAAGAGCCAGAATAACAATTTGTTCGCCAAAGACAATTTAGTCTTTAGCAGTTTCCAAAAGGTCAAAAATGAGAGTAGCCTTGTCCTGTAATGCAGGGCTACAATGCATGCTGCTGGCATCAACCATGTTAATTCACCAACGTACAGGCTGCAGTCTTTTGTAGCAGTTGCAATTTCTGGGTGAACTATAGAGGCAGCGATAGGTGCAACCAACCATGGAGAAAGGAAGAAATCCGTGGCCACGTGGTGTCCCGTCTTCCCAGTCCCTGCAGCCAGTCCAGAAAAAGACTGTGATCATTATCAAAACCACTGAGAAACCAAGGAGCACCATCCTTATTCTGGCTTCATGAAAGGATATTAACAAGCACAAATGCCATCGCAAGCTTTTGTCCTTGGTATTGTGTATTTCTGTAAAGGTGTGTTAATTCCAATGCAACTCCTCTTCCTCTTTTGTTGGGTCTTTTGCCTTTGAACAAATAAGATATCATTCTAGCAGTATGTTCCAAGCATGCTTTCTATCACCCATGTTTCAGTAATAGCAATATCGTCTCTGCCCCCTGTACTAGGACTTTAGTCCCCCATACTTCGAGCATGAATGGTCCATGGCTGACCCTCTGGCATGCTCTCCTTACCTGGGGAGGTTCTGAAGAACTGATCTGCTCCCTAGTTCTCCACAGCCATCATCTCTGCTCTCCACAGTGATGCGTTTGGCCTGCCAAGCCTCCACCAGCAGCCTTTTTTAATTCCTGTTTTTTGTTTATCAAACTAAAATAAAAAATGGGGGAAATGATTTTGATTGAAAAGTGATTTAGCTGACATATGTGGCAAGCCAAATTCTTTTATGTCTTTGTCTGTTGACACTTGTAAATTGTATTTTGTTTTTATCCACAGGTATGATAATATTTCTGTTAATATGAATAACATGATATCTCGTTGTGTATCCAACTGAATAGGTTTAAAAATGTGATATTTGAAATTGGCCCAACAGATGAAGTGGGAGACTTTGAAGTAAAAGCTAAGTTTATGGGAGTTCAGATGGAGACATTTATGTTGCATTATCAGGTATGAACTTTACTACTGTTTTGGTCACTGTCCAAAGAATGCTCTTCAAGTAACCCTGTAGGGAAGATGTTAACTTTGCAAACATTTACTGGCAGTGATTTTTAAAAGAAGTAAAATAAAATCTGGGTGAAGAATAGAACAACTGGCTTGAGGTAGCCAGGCAAACAATAATACAATGATAAAAAGTTTAACTCTTTAAAGTGTTTAAAGTTATTGTTGACAAATCATAGATCTCTCCTAAGTGATGTGAATTAAGTAAGTAGGATCTATTAAGTATTCCTATATTTAACCCATCAGCCTCTTGGGTTTTGCTAAGAAAGAGTGTTCCCCTCCTGTTCTGCTCGTGAGATCATGTGTTGCATTGCCAACCCAGCTGGGAAATGCTTTTTTCAGATTGTAATGTCAGGGCTATTCATCATTGGTTACAGTGAAATATTCTCAATATGCATTTCTAATTTTGAAAAGATTTATTCACTCCAATATAATATATTTTAATACCCAAAGGGAAATATTTTGGGTCTGAGATAGATAAGTGCTAGGGTTATAAGAAATTTCATTTGGGTATAGGTCTTTAATATTGAAAATCAGTGATACGATTGTGGGGAATGCAGGAAGCTTGTCCCCTGTTTGTCCCAGGAGGTCCTGTCCTGAGAGGCACTGAAGAGGATTGGGGGTGGGGGTGAAGGGAATCCTGAAGCTTGGTTGTCTGCTGTGGGGAGTTAGGAGACAGACCTTGTCATATTTTTCTCTGCTACTTAGATAAATCTAAGAAGCCTCTGGAAGGCATTTCTCTGGAAGGAAAGAGCCAGAGGGATGAGAGGGTGGGAGCTTTTCTCGGGAGCTGCTGGTTTATCACTATGTTGGCCTGTATTTGATATTATTTTAGCCTCTTTTTAGCCTTAAATATTTTTACTTATACTAAAAAGCTGATTGATCAATTGAATGACAGGGTCTAGTTGGATACAACAAACAAAAAAATCAAAACAAAAATAGAAGCTAAAAATAAACAGTCAAATTAATCAAAAATCAATAGTGAACAACTTAAGCTGAGGGCTAACCAAATCCTGGAGGAATACTGCTTGGGCTTCTTAATGGATGCCTCTGCATTTCATACAAATCTGTATCCGTTAAATGAGGGGTGCAACTCCTGCAGTGGGGGACATATATGTCCCAGTGGTGTTTGATGCTTAAAGCACCATAAATGGGCTTCCTTCCTTACCAGGAGGCTAACAAATAGCTGAGCTTCAACCCATTAAGAGCTGTTTGGGTCTGGAGCAACTCCCCTAATTCTATTCAACCTCCAATTCCAGTCTCAACGGCAGGATAAAGAGGCTTTTTCTCATGGTTCTTTCTATCTCCTTGGCTTGCTTCCATGTCCAAGGGATATTCCCTTAGATGCTGCCATCATTTTTTTGGCTTCTCTAGTGTGTTTCAGGGCTGCTGAAAAAGCCGGGTGCAGCCACAGTTCGGATGGGCTGCTCATCTCGGAAGAATTGTCTGGGTTGATAACATGGAGTGCCTCAGGTTCCCTGCTTGATCTCCCGACTTGATGGCACTCTTCACAACGTTGTGATTGAGAGGCTATTGAAATGGCTCAGAAGCGTCTAAATGCAAATTATTTCAGACAAACATTTTCATAAGCTGTTGAAATACATAGATTTCTTTTCTTTACCATTGAAGGTGTTCTCTGAATCATTGTATGAAAAATACTTAACTTTTTTGTTTGTAGCTGTTCCTTTAAATAAGTTCTAGTAAAACAAATGTAGAAAATTTGGTTGAGAGCTTTAAATCCAGAAAATACTTGCTACTTACTACCAGTTACAACAGGTCATTTAGTGACCATTCAAAGTTACAATGTAGCCTTCCCCAAGTACTTACAACCCAGTCCCAAAATAGCAAATGTTGCAGCACCAAGGCCATCGTTCACCCTTACGAACGACTGCAGAGGCACTGCAACATTCTTCCTGCCTATTCCCTCGCCCCACCAGGTCTTCACAGGCCCTGGGCCTATGGAGGCTGACTTCCCTTTCAGAGTGAGCTGCCTCCTCTCCAGCCTCTCTGCTTCTTTGCCTGCTCCTGACGAGAACAGTGGAAGAGCAGGATGAGTGTGCCCTGCTCGGCTTTTCTGACTCACCAAGGCTGCCTGCTACTTCTGGAGTGGCGGGCAGCCTCAGTGAGTCTCTTACAAAGGCTGGCAGGCTTGGTGTGGAAAAGTCCTTGTGTCAAGCTGACAGTTGGTAAACTGAAGGGAGGCTTTGGGGCAGTAAACTTGCGTTGCTTCAAACCTCTCATTGGAGTGCAAACACTTTTCACCCGGAGACTGGAACCTTCTGAGTGTCCTGATTTCGCATGAATCGCTGCTTTTCCTGTACGCTGCTTGGAGAATCCAAGCATGGGTTAAATTCTGTCTGGCTGCCCTGGGCTGAATTGAAAGATCTTTAGCCATGACTCCTCTTCCGGTTCCTCAGATTTTTCAATTCTGTTCTAGCCCAATGAACACATTTTAAGTGGTTCCAGAATATCAACAGAATTTTTAACCTTAACTTAGACTTTCCAACCAGAAAATTTTCCATCCTTCAAAGAAATCCTCTATCCACTACCACAATTTATGAGGCACCTGAGCAGCCTTCGCTAAATGGTGCACACCTAAGCAGATAAACCCCGCTTCCGCTTCCATACCGCAAATTTTGGACTTTTTGCAAGATGGATTGGACCAGGGTTTGGCGGCCAAAACACTCCATCGCCAAGTGGCGGTGCTGTCCACCGTCCTCACTCCCAATGACCAACTATCCCTAGCACGTCATTCCATGGTCCGCAATTTCTTGAAGAGCACCTCCAACCTACGGCCCCCGGTCGTTCATTGGTACCCGACCTGGGAGTTGAATGTTGTACTTAGGGCTCTAGTCAAGGCTCCGTTTGAGCCGATTCACACCTGTGACCTGAAGCACCTAACCTTCAAGACAGTATTCCTGACCGCGATCACCTCTGCACGTAGGATTTCGGAAATGGCAGCCTTGTCAGTCAGGGAGGACATGTGTGTCATACATCCGGACAGGGTCATCCTTCGCTTAGATCCTTCATTTCTTCTGAAGGTCAACGCTTAGTTTCATCAGAGCCAGGAAGTCATCCTTCCGGACTTTTATCCTCACCCAAGACATCCTATGGAACTCAGATGGCACAAACTGAATGTGCGTCAAACCATTCGCAAATACATCAAGCACGCTGTGGCATTCAGGCGATCGGAATCACTTTTCATTTCCTTTCAACCTGCTACCATGGGGTGCAAAGTCACCTCCGCTACCATCGGCCAATGGTCTTGTGCTTGCATCGCCCTTGCCTATCAGCTCCAGTCTAGATAGGTACCACGCTGCATCACGGCCCACTCTACGAGGAGCGCCGCATCCACAGCAGCCTAGACCACCCAAGCGCCCATAGATCTGCAGAGCGGCTACACGGGCCTCACCATCCCAATTTGTTGAAGCTTACAAATTGGACAAGTTTGCATCAGCGGAAGCAGCGTTTGGGAGATGGGTCCTTCAGGGTATCCATGCCTCTGGAGAGCCCTAGTGACATTTAGCTTGAGTACATCCCATGCTTGGACTCTCCAAGTAGCTTTACAGGAAAATAACCATTGGCTTACCTGAAGGGTCCTTTTCTGTATGCTGCGAGGAGAATCCAATCCCACCCTAGGGTCTCTCTCTCACAGCTTCCATTTGTATCTGATTTGGACTTACTTGATGTGGATTTGTGATTTTTGTTTCTGAATTTGACTTAGGCAATCTATTTGACTTGAACTAATGACAGAATCAATGGAACCACCTTCGAACAGTGTTACAGGTCCATGCCTTCATTGAAAAAATCTGAGGAGCCGGAAGAGGAGGTGTGGCTAAAGATCTTTCAATTCAGTCCAGGGCAGTCAGGCAGAATTTAACCCATGCTTGGACTCTCCAAGCAGCGTACAGAAAAGGACCCTTCAAATAAGCCAATGGTCAGTTTTCAAAGCGCCCCATTTGCACGCAGATGAAATTTCCAGGTCTCCGTCCGGGGGAAAGGTTAAAGCAAGTTTAAAAGAACAAGATAGAAAAATGAGTATATAAAGACAGAAAAAAGGATAGAAAAAAAATAGGCATAATTTCCTAGAGTAGAGAAGGTAGAAACAAAGCTAAGCGCAAACCACAGCCACCAACCAAAAAAGGGATTCTCAAATTTTAAATTTTTAAACCTTAAAACTTTTAAATTTTGAAAACTTTAAATCAACTAATACATTTTTAAATTATTAACTTGAAATTTTCTTCTGGAAAACTGCCAAAATCTTCCACATGAATGAACAGCCAAAATGATACTTTTTAAAACTATTTTTTTCTCTTTCTTCAAATATATATTGAAATAAAAATCTCCCACTTTTACATAATTTTTTTTACTCTAAAAAGAACCTGCAAAAAGAAACAAACTCATGGTGCAGGTGACTTGATGCTATTGTGGTATGCAATATATCAGTGATGGCCAACCTATGGCACACGCAGAGCCATCTCTCCGTCCACATGAACTGTCGCCTGTTGCTCTTCCGGTTCCGCGCCAGCCAGCTGGGAGTACCAGAAATGGGAACAGCAGCCACCCTGTGCGCATACGCCCACCGGAAAGATGATCTTCTGGTTTCCGGCACACATATATGCACTGGCCAGCTGGTCTTCACATGCACATGGGTGCCAGAAACTGGAAGACCAGATGGCCGGGGTGCGTGCCCGAAACCGGTAGGTCGTCTTTCCAGTGTGCGTATGCGCACTGGGCGGCTGCTTTTCTGGTTTCCAGCACGTGTGCTTGCTCCTGTTTCAGCAAATTATACATGTATTAAATATAAACTATGTGAACTTCTCTCCCTCCCTCCCTCTCTCTCACAGGATCTGCTGCAGCTGCAATATGAAGGTGTAGCTGTCATGAAGTTATTTGACCGAGCAAAAGTAAATGTTAACCTGCTTATTTTCCTTTTGAACAAAAAATTCTATGGGAAGTAAGTCCCATTCCTGGAAAGTATTTGAAGGCAGCTTCCTTTCCTGTGGGCGCGTGGTTAAATCCTGCATAGGACCTCTGTCCTCAGTATGGAATCTCCAGCTGTTGGCATCTCATTTTGACTTTGCTGCACACATTTCTTGCATATTGTTTCCTAAGTACTTGCTAAACAGTCACAATTAATTAAATCATTCTTAACACCTTTTTTGCTCCTTTGAGTATTTATTCCAGCCAGAAAAAAAACGAGAGGTCAAGCAAAATTCCTAGTGTGCTAACCAGACAACTGAAACAAAATGAAGAGAAATATCACTTATTACCAATATTCAACTTTCTATCAAATACAGTGTGTGTGGATTTTTTCTTTATTAGTGGCAAGCTTAACTACAGATATCTCTCACCTTTTTCCACCCAAAATATTTTAATCTCCTTATCTTGAAAATAGTACAAGTACAAGGCCATACAACAAAAAAGGCAAAGCGAAACAAATTTCCAATCCCAGATTTTTAAATACCGAACATTTGGGTTCAATGTGAAAAACAAGTTGGGTGACTTCCTGTTGGAAAAGAAGCTGTATGGTTGTGTTTCTATGAGACAGTCAGTTGGCCAGTGGGGTGGGAGTGCATTGACCACTTCTCATTGAAGACTTCTTGTAAGTCCAGTACTCCTTAGGGGCCTGAGGGTCACCCTGAGGCTGATCTTTCCCACCTCCCTTTTTGGCTTTGCCTGCTACAGTTTTGGGTAGATTTTTGACTGCCCTTTTCCCTTCCCCCTTCTAGCAATAGCACTTAGAATTATATAATGCAGAGAGGCGGAGCTGACATCGCAGCAAAACAATTGATCCCATCATCACGAATTTGTTAGGGTTCCAAGTAACACCCTCAACTAAAGAAGACTTCAAGGCTTGAGTTTCCTCAAAGTTCTATTTTATTAGAGATGTCATATTGGCACATCTGGGGAAACACGAATCTGAAAACTTCCAGATTTTCCCCAGTTGAAAGTTCAAGATCTTTGCCCCAGCACCCACATATCCATCCCATGGCCCAATCAATCCTTGCCACAAAGGAAGAATCCTTCCATCCACCTCCACAGAGAGACAAGGCGACCTTGACTTTCTGAGAAGGAATGTTGTTATGGTGGTTGTTATACCTTTCCTTTTTCCAATACGCCTCACAGCCCCAAAGACAGGAAGCCAGGCGGATTTTCAAGCCCTAACAGACTCAGGCTGCACTAGATGCTTGATCAACCTGACCACAGTCCTGAAACTAGGGATGAGAGCAAAAAGACTGGCCCACCCAATCCGGTTCGAACAGGTCGACGGGTCCCTAATGGGGGGAGCTGTAGGTTTCAGAAATCCATCACAGCAGGTTGTGTCCAAAATGTCTGTCTGCCTTACGCAGAGTTTATTTGGCTTTTATAGTTTTAACAAGCAAAGCAAAAGCAGGGGTAGCAACAGCATCTTATCGGTACATTTTACTTGTCAATCTCTAAACTCCATCCCAGCCAGAGTTGAATCTCACACAACTCCCTGGTATGACCTATCTCTGCTAGGTGAGCTCATAGGTTAAAAGGTAAAAAGCCACTCAGATCATGGCTGTTTGCTGTGCATGTTTTTACGTAACCTTTCCTCTCATTTCTACATCTCACTCATTCCTACAGGGAGCCTATGCCACCCACCTGACCAAACCAGTGAGACTAGAGCTAGTGGATCACTGGGAAGTAATTTGATTCATAATAGTCTCCAAAATGATAGATGCAGTCATACTGGGACTCTCCTGGCTAGACAAGTGGGGACTGACCAGAGACTGAACAGATCCCAGGGGAATATCAGGACCTCCAGAAGTATTCAGTGAGACCAAGTGCAATATTCTGCCCCCCCCCCCTCCCCAGTGAGGCNTCAGGGGGTTGGGCTAGAAGACCTCCAAGGTCTTTTCCAACCTATGATTCTATTTTTAACCACTTTAAAGCCTTCTGTCAGCTTTCCAAAAAATGCCCTCATTGATTCATGCGCCTCAGACCAAACTTCACAAGAAAAAAATTAGTCATTTATTAGGAACATTTATTTTTGGCAAGATCTTTTCGCAGTCAGATCTAAGCTTTGTTTGAGTTATAGCTCCCGGAGTCCTATGGGATTGGGCGGCATATAAATTTATTAAAAGTTAAAGTTAACAGATAGCTGAACTTTGCCCCTGTTCCTTCCCCAGTCTGTGTCATAAATCACATTCCACAATGAGGTGCACCCCTCCCAAGCCTGCTGCAGTAATCTGAGCTGAAAGTATGCATGGAATGCGCTCCCCACCTTTCTCTCACTCTGACAAATTTAGGAGTTGACATTCGGTTCCCCTCACTTTCCAAAAGCATTCATTTCATTTCATTTTCATTTTATTTGGTTTGTATGCCACCCTCTTCCTGAGAGACTCACGGCAGCAACCTGTGGGAAGTAAAAACAAAAACAAGTGGAGTTGAGTTGCAACTAATGCCAACTAGATTGTCCTAAGACTACCAGAACAAGCCTGCAAAATTCCAGACAGAAGCATAGGAGTCATATTTTCTCCCTTTCTGTTGGTTCTCCAGACTTTTGCAGCTCAGGTTTGCCTTGTTCAGTGGATCTTCTTCACCTTTCTTGCCTTCCACTTCTTTCTTTGCTCTGTGCAGGCAGGTTTCCTTGTAGGCCAGTTTTATTGCCAATCATAAATGAGGGCATCAGCGCTAGGAATCAATAGAACAAAGACATTAACATGGAATGAATTAATAAAAAGGGTCACCGTCGTTCTCAAAATCAGAATTGGTTTCTGGAAATGTTCTTCCCTGCTATCATTCCTGGAAACAGCAAAGGAGGTGAAAATATCAAGGTTGCCTTTTCTTTCTCAAAAGGGCAGCAGATGACAAAGCGATGGAAGGAGGCAGATTTTCCACAAGAGGGAGAAAAATACCCAACCAGGTAAAGCTTTTGAAAGCAACCCTGTTCCCAGAAATAATGAGTCCACACACCACAGTGGTAAAATGGCACTGAATTAATAAGGAGAAGCTTGCAATGTAAGGTACTTTTAGAACAGATTAACGGAGTTGGAAAGGACCTTGTAGCAGTGGTGAAATTCAATGTTTTTTTTACTACTGGTTCTATGGCCGTGGCTTGGGGATGGCTGGGTGGGCAGGACAGTGGAAGGATGCTACAAAATCTCCAGTCCCACCCCACTCCGGGGCCAGCCAGAGGTGGCATTTGCCGGTTCTCCGAACTACTCAAAATTTCTGCTACCGGTTCTCCAGAACCTGTCAGAACCTGCAGGATTTCATCCCTGCCTTGTAGGTATGTGATGGCGAACTATGGCATGTATGCCAGAAGTGGCATGCAGCGCTCCCTCTGATGGCACGTGACCTGTCACCCCAGTTCAGCTCCGCCATGCCTCCTGCTGGCCAGCTGGTCTTTGGATCTCTGCCACGCATGCACAAGGGTGGGGCATATGCGTGGGGCCACAAGGGCATGTGCGGGGGCACATAGCAATAGCAATAGCAGTTAGACTTATATACCGCTTCATAGGGCTTTCAGCCCTCTCTAAGCGGTTTACAGAGTCAGCA